GATTTGCCTGGTAGACTAGGATATTTGTCAAAAGTGGTGTTAGCTGTTTCAGTACCAGATTTGCTTTTGACCATAGTACATTGTTGTCTCTATCATTATAAAGGTTACTTTATTAAATAATCAACTAACAATGGCCAATTATATTAACAGCAGACTTAATTAGTAGACTCTGATAGTTGTGTGGTTATATACCACCAGAAGAAAAAAACAATAGCTACTTAAAGGAACATAATTTTGAAGTTCAAAATCTGTAATTTAAAAAGTAAAACTCTTTAAATTGCAAACAAGAAAACCTTAGGGTTCAGCCAATCAAATGATAGTTATTTTGCATCTGGGTCACCAATAGTTTATTTATAAGTGTACAGGAATTCCCACCAAGTAATAAAAATGCACCATCAAATAACAATGCTTTTTTTTTAAACATTATAGTAGTTAGTGAACTTGCCACCGCGAACAGTGTAGTCTGGGTAAATAAATCACAAGCAAGGGTAGCATGATATTTTCCTACCAGTATTGTTCTGGGATTGACCTACTGCATCTAGCCTTCACTGAGCAGAGAACAAATGATTTATTCACTGATCGATAAAAGTAGTTTTACACTGGCACGACTGATATCAGACCAACAATTTCCCAACATCATATGAAAATAACGTTTACATCCTACAATGTTTGTGGGTAGCAAGTGTTGGTACATACAGGTCCCACCTAAAAAATGGGAAATGCCTGTGCGTAACTAACAGCCTCTACCAATCAAGCCAACTGTACCTGCATGTGGTGCCACCTGTTGTAACAGACATGGCTTTGGCTCATAGCGAGTCTCCATTGCTAAAATAATTAATCCCTGATGCCTAAAGGGGTAAAATACCAGGCTACATCTGGTGTAAGCCAGACAGAAACCCTCAGTGGAGTGTATGAGAAGGACATCAATCCATGAGCTGGAGGCAACTTCTGGCCTCCCTCCACAGCTTGAGCCATCGAAGGGAAGAAAATATGCTTAACCTAACAGAAAAATGTTAACGCATGAATAACAACCCCATGCACAGAAAAGCAACATTGTTAGGGACAATGTCATGCAAACTGTTTTCGTGAGTCCACTGGAATGTCTAGTGACCTGAGTCAATATGTGGAACAGTGTTGACTTAAGCCAGGAGATGTCAGCTTGGCCTAAGTAAATATTATAAGTCAGTGTTGACTTAGGGCTGGATGGACCAGTGTGTTCACGGGATGTCAGCCCAGTGCTGGCGGATTATCATACTTTGTGAGTGGACAGCAGCAGTCGCATGGAAAATTATGGGGGCCAGCTACTACTGAACGAGGGACCTCGCAACAGCATGTGTTAACCAGCTAAAAGTGAGTGACCAAATGTCACAAGTGAATGTACCGTAATTGTGCTAAGCAGTATTGCCAACTGACCAGCTTCAAGAAACCGGATTGAAGAGCCGTGTTATACCCAGAACCTGTCCCAAGAGCTGGAGCTATCAGGTGAACTGTCCAATTGGTCGGGGCAGTGTGTCCTGTGTGTTAACCATAACCATAACATCATCTTTTTGTCTTACCGTCAAACATTAGCGGGTGTGTAATTGTAAATTGTGTAATGCCTTATTGCATTGTTTACATTGCATTGCCCATGTTATACGTTTGGTATGCCTCAGGTTTCATTTGCATTTGTTGTGTGATAGGCGGGCGGTTGGGAGGTAGCGCTTCTAGTTAGGTATCATTGTGTGATGCATGATTTAGGGGCTTTCTTTTTAGTTATTTCTGCCTTTTAAGGGATTGTTGGTGATAACAATTATTCTTAGGCCGGAGTAGCTAGTTTATCTGAGTCAGGTGGTGTCAATAGTCAGTCCTATATGTATTACATTATTACAATGTACAATTTATCCATAAATAAATATCTTTGAAATGTTTTATTTCCACATACAGTAAACACTAGAGGAATTTCTTCATGCTTTACAGTGTACTGGCTAAACTGTGCCAACTCCACGCCTGTAGAGACCAACTCAATGAGAAAGAATTATTGTCAAAATTATTCTGGTCGCCTGAAGTTTTTTTTTTTTTTTGTGTGTGGTTAAATTAACTTTTTTTTTTAATTAACTGTTTAGTTTTTGTTTTGGAAATAAATGTTCCCCTTACAGATTTCTATTGCGTAGAATTAACATCTCAAGGATGAAAATAAGACATGCATAAACCCCTGAAACCCTGTTCAACTATACAGCCATATAGCATAGTTATTTATACTGGGGCACCATAAAAAGTAAACTGTAATCCAGTGAGGAGGGGGGGGGGAGGATTTTCTCTTTAGTGCCACCTTTACTTTCCAGATCATTTCCTGACATTCATTTTAGATCAGATCGACCTGAGAGTAAAGGTCACATGTTTTTCAAATGTATGTCCATAGACGTGATATTAAAACATTAATAAATACTTGACAAGATGCTGCTTGATCTACACAAATGCCAGATTAACATTATATGCCCAATGTGCCACTAGCATTTAAAAAAAAAATCCTTTATTAAAATACAAAGACTGCTTTCAAATGACCAGTACAAACATTGTTAAAAATTAAGAAAATACTTTGAAATACTGCAAGCGTCATTTCAGGATATAAATTTTTGCAAATTAAAAAAAAAGGGATATAAAAATGACTATATTATTATAAATATACGAAAATGGCTGACCTTAAGTTTAATGTCCTTTTAGTGAAGTAAAAGCAGTAATTCCACCCTAAACAATGTTGTATTTAATTTATTACTCTATTCATGGTAAAGATAGCCTAACTTTTACTCTATACATGGTAAAGATGGCCTAACTATTACTCTATACATGGCAAAGATAGCCTAATTATTACTCTATACATGGCAAAGATAGCCTAATTATTACTCTATACATGGTAAAGATAGCCTAATTATTACTCTATACATGGTAAAGATAGCCTAATTATTACTCTATACATGGTAAAGATCATCTAAATATTACTCTATACATGGTAAAGATAGCTTATTTATAACGCTACACCTGGTAAAGATAGCCTAACTATTACTCTATACATGGTAAAGATAGCCTAACTTTTACTCAATACATGGTAAAGATCGTCTAACTATTACTCTATACATGGTAAAGATCGTCTAACTATTACTCTATACATGGTAAAGATCGTCTAACTATTACTTTATACATGGTAAAGATCGTCTAACTATTACTCTATACATGGTAAAGATCGTCTAACTATTACTCTATACATGGTAAAGATCGTCTAACTATTACTCTATACATGGTAAAGATAGCCTAACTTTTACTCTATACATGGTAAAGATCATCTAAATATTACTCTATACATGGTAAAGATAGCTTATTTATAACTCTACACCTGGTAAAGATAGCCTAACTTTTACTCTATACATGGTAAAGATAGCCTAACTTTTACTCTATACATGGTAAAGATCGTCTAACTATTACTCTATACATGGTAAAGATCGTCTAACTATTACTCTATACATGGTAAAGATCGTCTAACTATTACTCTATACATGGTAAAGATCGTCTAACTATTACTCTATACATGGTAAAGATCGTCTAACTATTACTCTATACATGGTAAAGATCGTCTAACTATTACTCTATACATGGTAAAGATCGTCTAACTATTACTCTATACATGGTAAAGATCGTCTAACTATTACTCTATACATGGTAAAGATCGTCTAACTATTACTCTATGCATGGTAAAGATCATCTAACTATTACTCTATACATGGTAAAGATCGTCTAACTATTACTCTATACATGGTAAAGATCGTCTAACTATTACTCTATACATGGTAAAGATTGTCTAACTATTACTCTATACATGGTAAAGATCGTCTAACTATTACTCTATACATGGTAAAGATCATCTAACTATTACTCTATACATGGTAAAGATGGCTCAAGTATCACTTGATACGTGATAACGATGGCCTAACTACTTGTGTCCTAGTTTTCAGTTACATACCTTGTTTCTACTGCAGTGGCCGCTTTCCACAGTTCTACAATTATTGTTCACTGAGGCTGAAAGGTTGTTGCTCTAAGGTAGGCAAACTCTAGATTGCTGAAAAGGTATGGGCAATCAATACTCCACAGTCTGCAATCTTCAACAGCATGTACCGGCTCATGTGGAGAAACCCTTCCTTGCCAGGACAAAAGGCTGACAAGAACCTTCTAGTGCTGTCTTCCTCTGTATCTTTTTTTTCCCCACAGATCTTCTCAGTGGTCCTGACATGTTTCAGTTTCATAATATGACCAAACAATGATGACTTTCTTTCTGATGCTTGTGATAAGCTGTCCTCCAACCCTCACCCAAAATATCTAGGCTGCTCTTTTTGTCTGTCCAAGCGGTTGTAAGAATTCTTCTGTAAAACTACACTGTATTGGAAATGGCAACTATATAACAAATAGAAATACAACCAAAATAGTTTTCTGTCTTTGTGGTTGGAATCAGGAGATTCATTTTCACACAGGAAAGTGGCTGGCCCAGGGTTTCCCCAGCGGATTCTCATTTTGGAGACCCAGATTTGAATCCTTGGTAATGTATTGGAAATAGTTTTTGGCGAAGGCAAAAAAAAAAATAACCTGCATTGTTGGTAGCTTCTGCACTAGACTTGCAGCCCTAAATCCTTGGGCTCAAGTTATATCCCCACCTCCATCTTTTTTGTAAAAGATAAATTTGGGTAGTACAGAAAGAAAATCGCCACATTATTTAAAACTGACTACATATTTAAATCCCAGTCACAGAAAAATACTGAATTAAAGTTTAAGATGAACTTATACCAGATATTCTTAATTTAAAATTCAGATGCATATGAAATCACAATTCATAAAAACACTGCTCATATAATAACCACTAACACAATCACTACTCAATCACTGATACAATCACTACTCAAACAACCACTAGGCATACAATCACTACTCACAGAATCACCTTTCACTACTCATACAATCACTACTTACACAAACATCAATCAAACAACAGAACAACAGGTAGTATCCATTTGTATGAAAGGAGTGCCCACATCCACTGTACAACAGGTCGAGGTGAACTTGCTGAGGTTGACATGGGTTGAGCCAGTGGTTTGATGTGCCAGCATAACTAACCCACAGCTTCCTAGGCATACACTGAACCGGCACCGGGCGTCCAGGTAGTCTTTGATGTCTGGTACATCCAAGGACTTTGTGAAACTCCTGGATTCCTTTCCTTTGGATAACAGATGTCCATGAAAGGGAGCAGTCATCTGTGAATGCAATGGAGAAACTCCAACATTTGTCAACTGACTGCTGACAGAAGTATCCTTGTTCTTACCGTTAAATATTCCTGTGCTGTTAAATACTTTATTAGCAGCTCTGCTGTTTGTTGAGGGGGATGACAATGTTGCAGATGCACTTAGAGCCCAAAGCTTTCTACTAACAGACATGAGGTCAAAGTCTCTTTGCAACACGTCCAGGCTCTGCTCGTTCGTATCAATCCCATTCACAGGCTTCTGTCGTACCAGCTGGCTTCTTTTGTTGACGACACTGACCACAACGCTCTTGTGACTGTCGTCACTGGTAGTGGAGCTGTGGCTGGACACCTCCACATTAATACTGTTGTTAATACATTCAGCAGTCGCAGTGTCGTTCTCTGGAAGAGGCAAATCCACATCTGTAGGATCTTCACTACTGGAGTTATTATCACTAATATAAAATATGTGTTGTTTGGAATGGCTTTTGCCACCTTTATCACCATTATTACCTCCTCCACCACCACCGCCACCATCTCCTCCACCACCTCCCCGTCTACTGCTTCTGTAGTTGGACTTTGACCCACCACCAGCGTTTCCTATAGAACCTCCACCCCCCATACTGTTCCCACCATTGGGGCCATCTGTATCACTAGAATGGTCACTGCTGTCTCGCCTGTGCATGAACTTATGTTTGAGTTTGTCCTTCCTTGACCTCCCATCAGTGTCGTCTGTGTCGCTAGCATCTGAACTACTGCAGCTGGTGCCTCTCTGCCCAGCTCCTTTCCTTCGTCGCCTCTGGTCATATTTTCTCAGAATTTCTGGTGAAGCTAATCCGCCATGAGTGTATCTTCCACGCGGGGCTGACAATTTCAAGGGAACGAAATCATCTTCATCCTCCGACTCATTTTCCTCATGAATTTGATTCAGCAGCTGAGGAGAGCTACAGACAGACTTGAGAGGTCGACGAGGACTAGCAAGGTCTTGCCCTGAGTTTCCTGACATTGGTGACAAACCTATTATTTGGCTAGAAGAAGTGGTCGGCAGCTCTGAAATTCGTTCATCCAGAATCTCCAGGCTTTTTGAAGGTTTCAGCTCCGAAGGGGCCATTTCAAAATCATCCAAGTCATCATCATCGTCATCATCCTGGGATTCCTCCCGAATGAGACTACACTTGCGAACTGCAGCAAAAATGGCGTCTGGTGTCACAAGTGTGGTTTTCGGCGATGCTGAAGCCGGAGATGGGTGAGTGCCTGGCGGCGAGACAAGAGAGTGGACCAGACTGGAGGAATCAGAGTGCTCAGAGGATGATGACTGGGTCCTGTGGGATTAAAATCACACAAGGATTATTTTATTTTAAATATGTGTCAAATAAGCGCAAGTAATATCATCATTACATTAGTCTTAGGGTCCTGCAGCTGGGCCCCAGTCAGTTCCTGCAAGAGTCAGTAAAAACTAAATGAGCTGCTCCCATACCATCAGGCTTACTGGGTACAGAAGACCCTTTTTATTTCATGCTTTTCACACCTCTGGCGCATCAAGCATTTGTGCCTAGATCTTTACTGTTGTCGTCAAAACGGAATTTCACAGGTTCTGTGGTTAACATCATGTCAGCCATCTTTACTTCCCTCAACGTGAGCTGAAACCATTTTTTTTAAGGCTGGGTTGATCTGGGAGCTAAGGTCAATTTTGGTAAACAATCTGCCTCAATGCAGACTGGAACCCTAGATTTTCTGGCTAGCCATCTTATCCATCTTTCCAATGTCGGCTCTGAAGACCCATTGTGGGATAGTTTTTAAAAAAAGAATAGACTAACACCCCCCCCCCCCCCCTTTTTTTTTCAAACAAGCCTGACATAATAGCTGACTTATTAGGGAGTGTTTCTTCAAAATCGTAGTGTATCTGACTGAAAGGCGAGGAACAAACAGCCAGCATACAAGTAAGCCAGATCTGTAAAATGGATGGGCATGCAAAATCTCAAGTATGGAACTGAAGTCCAGAAGTAGATGAACAATCATAAATTTTTGCCAGATTTTACAGCTGGTTAGGGCAAAAAAGAAGAGGTATCCAGCTCCCTGGCGCATCTGCACAATAGCCCAGGGTTTGGTTGTCATTTTCCTAGAGGCAGGACTTTTCCCAGACCCTATGGCTAAATAGTGAACCCAACGACGCACTTAATATCAAACAATTCTCTAAGCTGGCAACATACTAACCACAATACCAACAGTGTCTGCTTCATCTAAACAATTTTTTTTTTGAACCAGCCTAGTCTAATATCACTTTTACAAATTATTTTTTTTGTTCTTTAAATAGTGACTATTTTCTACATATGTCTAAATCTCTTTGTTCTGTTACTTCATATTCTGTTCCCCCAAAGACTTGAAAAAATGCAATATTTAATGTTGCTGTGTGATTAGAGAAGAAGCCATGGTATTATAGAGGTTAGTGTCGCTGCTATCTGGGACAGTTAATGGTTCTTCTCCTTAGTGTTCAGTGGCTGAAAATTTTTGGTGAAAAGTTCTGCTCATTCATTCACTTCTGGACCGTGGACTTGTGAGAACTTGAGTTCTGTGTGCATAACCGTTTAACCATGTGCATAACCATTTAACCATGTGCATAACCATTTAATAATGTGCATAACAGTTTAACCAGATGGTTTTTTTTAAAAGAAACTGTTCAATGCACTCCTGCTTTGAAACAGTGGGTGTATTTAGCCACACCCTCCCCCCCCCACCCACCCCAAAGGGGCCCTGGAACCCTCACAGGGGCCAACAGCAGGTATTTAGCCACACCCCCCCCCCACCCTAAAGGGGCCCTGGAACCCTCACAGGGGCCAACAGCAGGTATTTAGCCACCCCCCCCCCCCACTCCAATGGGGCCCTGGAACCGTCACAGGGGCCAACAGCAGGTATTTAGCCACCCCCCCCCACTCCAAAGGGACCCTGGAACCCTCACAGGGGCCAACAGCAGGTATTTTTAGCCACACCCCCCCCCCCCACTCCAAAGGGACCATGGAACCCTCACAGGGGCCAACAGCAGGTATTTAGCCACCCCCCCCCCCACTCCAATGGGGCCCTGGAACCCTCACAGGGGCCAACAGCAGGTATTTAGCCACACCCCCCCCCACTCCAAAGGGGCCATGGAACCCTCACAGGGGCCAACAGCAGGTATTTAGCCACACCCCCCCCCCCACTCCAAAGGGACCCTGGAACCCTCACAGGGGCCAACAGCAGGTATTTAGCCACACCCCCCCCCCCCACTCCAAAAGGGGCCATGGAACCCTCACAGGGGCCAACAGCAGGTATTTAGCCACACCCCCCCCCCCCCCACTCCAAAGGGACCCTGGAACCCTCACAGGGGCCAACAGCAGGTATTTAGCCACAACCCCCCCCCCCCCACTCCAAAGGGGCCATGGAACCCTCACAGGGGCCAACAGCAGGTATTTAGCCACACCCCCCCCCCCCACTCCAAAGGGGCCATGGAACCCTCACAGGGGCCAACAGCAGGTATTTAGCCACACCCCCCCCCCCCACTCCAAAGGGGCCATGGAACCCTCACAGGGGCCAACAGCAGGTATTTAGCCACACCCCCCCCACTCCAATGGGGCCCTGGAACCCTCACAGGGGCCAACAGCAGGGTATTTAGCCACACCCCCCCCCCACTCCAATTGGGGCCCTGGAACCCTCACAGGGGCCAACAGCAGGTATTTAGCCACACCCCCCCCCCACTCCAAAGGGGCCCTGGAACCCTCACAGGGGCCAACAGCAGGTATTTAGCCACACCCCCCCCCCCCACTCCAAAGGGGCCCTGGAACCCTCACAGGGGCCAACAGTAGTAACTGCTATAGGATACCATCAGAACAAATCAAATCAAATTATATTTACTGTAACGAGCCATGATTCTACATCTGGGCAACTTAAACACACCAATCTCAACTAACTGGCCAAGGAATGTGAGTGAAAGTGTTACATTCAGCAGTTTTACTATAAACACAACAAAGAAACAAAACCCATTGTTAAACAAGGAGTTAATGTGAGTTAAAGTGTTACATTCAGCAGTTTTACTATAAACACAACAAAGAAACAGAACCCATTGTTAAACAAGGACAAGCAAGCAAGCAAGCTCAAAACAATAAGCAAGGAGACATCAAAACGAAACAAAAATAACTTATGTTGAACAGACTGTTAATTTACCATGCTGAATACTTCATGCAACATATGTTTCTTCTAACTATGGAGAAATCTCAAGCGTTTATTTTAATTAAATGGAAGATCTCATACATTTCCAAACTGAGCAAAAAATTTAAAGAATTTCTTAAATTATTACAAAATTTCCAAAATTTCAATGTGAAATGTGTGGAAGCAGCCAAATGGGCAATCCTGTGTTATGTAAACAAAAAGATCACCTAGTTAACTGAAGACTTCCATGGTGAGATACTCAGTGTAACATACTAAATGATCATTGTGTTTCAAGTGAAAGAACTTGTTTTTGTGGGTGTATTTCACAGTATGTTGATGTAAATACTGTTGTAATGCACCCGATAATATATGCCAGGCAATACACTATGCTATATATTGTTTGTATCCTCGTTATGTAACAGTATGCTATATATTGTTTGTATCCTTGTTATGTAACAGTATGCTATATATTGTTTGTATCCTTGTTATGTAACAGTATGCTATATATTGTTTGTATCCTTGTTATGTAATAGTATGCTATATATTGTTTGTATCCTCATTATGTAACAGTATGCTATATATTGTTTGTATCCTTGTTATGTAACAGTATGCTATATATTGTTTGTATCCTTGTTATGTAACAGTATGCTATATATTGTTTGTATCCTCGTTATGTAACAGTATGCTATATATTGTTTGTATCCTTGTTATGTAACAGTATGCTATATATTGTTTGTATCCTTGTTATGTAACAGTATGCTATATATTGTTTGTATCCTCGTTATGTAACAGTATGCTATATATTGTTTGTATCCTCGTTATGTAACAGTATGCTATATATTGTTTGTATCCTTGTTATGTAACAGTATGCTATATATTGTTTGTATCCTCGTTATGTAACAGTATGCTATATATTGTTTGTATCCTTGTTATGTAACAGTATGCTATATATTGTTTGTATCCTTGTTATGTAACAGTATGCTATATATTGTTTGTATCCTCGTTATGTAACAGTATGCTATATATTGTTTGTATCCTCGTTATGTAACAGTATGCTATATATTGTTTGTATCCTTGTTATGTAACAGTATGCTATATATTGTTTGTATCCTTGTTATGTAAGTTTCTTAATTAAACAATCTCAAACTTTTCTGAATTAAATGACAAATCTCAAACACTTGACTCAATAGAAAATCAAAGCATTTAATTAACTTAGAAAATCTAAAACATATTTTCTATTAAATAGAAAAATCTTAAACCCTTTTTAATCTGAAAAGTAAAATTTATGGAAGCAACTGGGATTAGGATGGCCAATCCCACATGATGTAAACAAATGGATCATGTGGTTATTTAAGACTCCCCTACTGAAAGGAACAGTGTAACATTAGATACAATATTTAAATATATTCTTTCCTTTCCTGCTGCGCTCTTATACATTAAATGGGATCTCAGATTCTCGACACTCAGAGGAAAAGCAAGACAGATATATAACCAGATTGCTTCTGGCACCAATGGTATTGGAACTCTGCGCTGGCTGCTGAAGATTGAGATGGAGCACTTATGCTATGATGTCAGTTCCTGAATCAACTCAAATGAACTCAACTTTTATCTTGTGTAATCCCCCCCCCCCCCCCCCCCCCCCCCCCATAATCCATAATTTGTCAGAAATCTAATCTGACAACTCTGGCCTCTCACATCAAGTTCACTTGGACAGTCTTGCTTCCTCAATCCATTTGTCTCCCATTCCAGTGCCTGTTGTGGATTTCTTTTTAATTTAATACTCAGTCCCCTCCCCCCCCCCCACCCCCCAATGTGGGATGCAATTTTTAGTTATTTTGAAGCCCCACCCCGGCTTTTGCCAGGGGCCCTAAATATAGCCGGGCCTTAAATATGGGTAATTCTCATCTGCATGGTGGCACTTTGTGTCACCGGGTGTTTATCGCTTGTGTGATGTCCTGGCGGTTTACAACTTACATTACACACATAGAGTGCCTTTTCTGTGATTGTTCATCTCATTTTGTGCGCAGTTGATTTCCATCTACTTATCCAGCTGCTTCTCTATCTTGGGTAGGGGTGGGGGAAGGGGGTTGCGTGCGTGCATATGTGTGAGTACACACAAACTGTTGTTTTATCCTGAGAAAAA